AAAACAGCTGTTCACATGTGTGTCTTAATTTACCAGCTCCATCTAATTCACTGGCTGTAATTGCCATGTCCTGATTACCTTGGACAACTGGCCAACCTCTTGCTCTCTTACTTCCATTTTAATTACTAATATAAACCCTCAGATCACACATTGTACATCACACAGTTATCATATGTACCTGGATCATAGAATGTCATGAAAGAGTGAATCAGTTGCCATTAGGGTTCAAAGACACCAGACTGGAGGCTGAGACAGAGGGACTCTGGTCACACAGACAGACTCAATGCAGTGGAGGTTAGAGGAGCTGACAAGGAAGCTAGTGGAGAGCTGCAGGGCTGCAGGGCTGCACCAGGCCTCAGGACTGAGTGAACTGCAGAGGTGAGGTGCAGGACCCCAGGACCCAGCAGGTGAGATGCAGACCCACATTAGCGTGGAGCAGCAGATGAGCTGTCAGACAGTGACTCAAGGAGGAGGCGTTAGCTGTGTGGATGGAGCTGAAGCCTGAAGATGGTCAGGAGTCCTCTGCCTGCAGGTTCCGTGACACACAGACAGCCAGGCGGCAGGTTTGTGGGGGCCGGGACCATTGCAGGGTTAGGTGGCCTCTTCAGAGATCCAGGTGAGGGTGAGATAAATCCTCAGAGCTGGTTCTCTGATACAGTTTGTATGCACATGTGCTCATGACTTCAAACCTATTTTGATAAGTGCATAGAAGACACACTTTTACTTTGGGGATTAAGTTAATCCAGCTTTTGCATCATTTATGGTCCTTGGTTGACATGTGTCTGTGTGAAGTGAGGTGTCATGTCCTCCAGTGTCTGCATTGCACTAAGAAGGGAGCCAAGTGCTGCTTGTAAAATGGAGTCACTCTGGGAGAGCCATAGTTTTTTCATAGCCAGGAGTAATTTAGAGCCATGCCACAGTGCTATCATATAAGAATGAGAAAGGAGAGGCCGGCCTCCTCCGCGGGCCGCGGGCTACTTTGCCGGCGGCGAAGGGCCGCCCGCCGCACGGCGTCGGCTGTGGCGTTGCGGTCATTGTGTCGTGACGGAGACGCCGGTAGTGGTTTCCGCGACAGCGGGTGCGGCTGCTTTAGCCCGGCCTGGGCTCCACGGCTGCCTGGAGGGTCTCTGCAGCGCCCGCCCCTTCTCCTCCGGGACCCCACGCCAGCAGCGACCCTGAGCCGGCGGCCGGAGCTACCGGCAATGGCGGCCTCGACGGCCTCGCACCGACCCATCAAGGGAATCCTGAAGAACAAGACCTCTGCGGCTTCCCCGGTGGTGGCCTCGGCCGAACAGCCCCGCCGGACCGTCGAAGAGGAGCTGAGTAAAAAGTCTCAGAAGTGGGATGAAATGAACATCCTGGCAACATATCATCCAGCTGACAAAGACTATGGGTTGATGAAAATAGATGAGCCAAACACTCCATATCACAATATGATAGGTGATGATGAAGATGCCTATAGTGACTCAGAAGGCAGTGAAGTCATGACTCCAGACATCTTAGCTAAGAAATTAGCTGCTGCTGAAGGCTCAGAGCCAAAGTATCGGACTCGAGAACAAGAAAGCAGTGGAGAGGAAGATAATGACCTCTCCCCTGAAGAGCGAGAAAAGAAGCGGCAGTTTGAAATGAAAAGGAAGCTTCATTACAACGAAGGACTGAATATTAAGTTAGCCAGACAGTTAATTTCAAAAGACCTACATGATGATGACGAAGATGAAGAAATGTCAGAGACTGCAGATGGAGACAGCATGAATATTGAAGAGTCAAATCAAGGATCTACTACAAGTGACCATCTGCAGCACAAATCACAAAGTTCATAAGAGAAACGTGTTGAGCAATGCAGTCGTTGTCAAATACAAACCTTGTTACTATACTACACTGCTTCTTGTTCTCTACAACTCGTGACTTATGTATCAAAATACATACAGTTATATATTGCCAAGATTAAGACCATAGAGACGGAGTAGATGGAAACATGCCTAATTAATGCATATATTCTTGTGCCTCATACTTCACCACAAATACAGTGTAATGTTAGTAGTCCAAAACTGCTTTACTTTTGTAAGAACACTGGTTACTTTGTATAAGATATTATATAGCTTTTTATGCTTTAGAGATTAAATAATATCATGGGGGAAACTAATTTATTTTTGTCACTTCTAGATGATGGTACCTCTTATAAAATATTTAGGGGTAGTTTGATGTTTTTTCTTCTTTTAGTCAAAAGCCTATTCATAAAGTGGGAGATATAGATGGATAAATATTTAGGCTGAAAGGTTTTCTTTTTAATATTTATCTTTAGCTTGTTTTGGCTAATTGAGGTTTCTAAGGGTTATTGTTCATTTTCTGATCAATGACCTTTAAAATTCCTGTTGATTTTCTTTGTGCTCAAAAGGAATAAATCTTTTCATTCAAACTGGTTTCCCCCATTCCCACCCACACTCAGATAAATGTCCAGGTTAAAGTTGCACTGACATCTGCTCTGCTTGTTTTAGTACGCTGTGCAGACTTCAGACGAGGTTTTTAACACCACGTGCTGTCTTAGTTTCCCATTATTTATATTCCTGTGTTAACCTGCTTTGATTTCCTACTTCCTCTGCCTGAACACATGCAGTTGGAGAGATTGTATTACAGGATGGCAAAGGCTATTGGACGAGAGGAACTCTTCTTCATATTCTGTCGTCCGCTGCAGTAGTGAGTGCTCACTTTGGCACCTGCTAGTTCTAACACAGGAAGGAAGCGGGTCTAGTAGTAGCCATACTGTGGCAGGAAGGACAGCTCGGCAGCTTGATCTCTGTACTTCTCTGATTGACAGCTTGGTCAGTAAATGGCTGATATTGGTTCATTTGACATTAGACCTTAGCAAACAATGAACTAAGGCTTTTTTGCACGATGAAAGCATTGTATGTAATCAGAATATGATTGTTCTTGAATGTACAGACAGAATTATATCTGAACATTTTTAAATTTAAAGATTCTGCGGAGTCTGCTTTAAGGGACTATGATAATGCACACTATGACAATGAACGTGATTCCTCTAACATGATAGAGATCATTTGCGTTTTCCCCCCTGAAATGAAGTGTAGTTCCTGTGTGTCTTAGTTTTAGTGATGGTTTTCTTTGTAGTCATTTATTTGTATCATAAGTTTTTGGTAGCACCAAATGAATCTGTTATATGACACAGACTTTTAAAATAACTTCTGTATATTATATATATGAAATGGCTTTTATTGAACAGCTATCTTCCACTTTAAATTTATGGAACTATCATGATGTCAAAATAAAAAAAAAGTGGGAAGAGTCTTTACTGTTAGAAGAATGTGCTTATTTTGAATGTCTTTTTTTTTATGCGATTTTATCAGAGTAGCTCTGAAATGTTAGTGCAGTATTCTAACCAAACATTTTAGCCACTGAACCACTGATGTACACACGAAGCAATGTATACCTCATCTTTGTAAATTAAGCCTGTTTGAGGGATGTGGAAATTAACTGTATATATGTATGTGAATATGTTCATGTACCAGATCTGTGCTCTTAAAAAAAAAAAAAAAAAAAAAGAATGAGAAAGGAAAGGAACAGAGCAAGAGGAAGCCCAGGATGGAAACAGCCTTGTCCACTCTCATGCTGTGGTACTTGAGGCTCTGTCAGCCATGAGTCTCATGGGTTCCCACCAGTCTGATCCGAAGTCAACAGCACAGAATTCTGAGATGCTGTCAGCAATTCATCTGCTTCCTTTGCTGAACATGTCTCAGGCAATGTCAAAGAGTCACCCAACAGAGGTGGTGGTGACTGCAGATCAATCTGTAGAGCAAGAGGACAAAAGGGGTGAGGATTACAGTGTGCTCCTGGGCATCAGCTGCAGCACCCACTCTCCTTCATTTCTCAGACACTCCCCCACGTCACAGACCATGGAACTCAGTTGCACAATCCTTTTCTCTGTTATTCTGCATTCTAGAGCCTTCTGCCTCTCTAAGCTCTAGGATGATTATACTTCAGATGTTTCCAGAGATACAAGTACACTAATGCAAAGATTGTGAATAAAAAATTTTAAAAAATCAGGAAACATGAAAAAAATCAGCAAATATGAAAGACTAGAAAAACACACATGTGTTTCTGTCTTTGATGGCCTTTTAGCTTTCACTTTTATGATTCTCCTTAGCTACCAAGCTGGCCTTGACCTCGCCTTGACCCACAGCAGGCTTCAACTATTATGGTAATTCTCCTGCCTCAGCTATCCACATACTAAAATTGAAGGTCTGACCAAATATCCAGGAATATTTAATAGGTTTTATTCAATAAAGCTTATTCCAAAATAATTATATTGACTTAAACATATGTCACCTAATATTAGATGTAAAGCTTTTATCAGACTTTGCTTATAGGGAAATTTTAGATCACATTAAAACAGAACATGGCATCTTCATCACAATTCTGTATCTTTACTCTACACTGTGTTTGGCAAAATCTAACCATGACAGCAGTGGGATCTCAGCTCCCTTAACCTGCACAAACACTGGTGACATCAACTTCAGAGGACAGAGACATTGGAATCATAGTTCCAGAAGCACTGAACTGTGGCAAAGTCGAGTGAGAACTTAAATGAATGGATTTTCTTGTTTGGCTTGTTTGTTCTTTTGAGGAGATGTGACTATGATGATGTGATCACTTGAACTGGGTGATCCTCCTGCCTCAGCTTCCTGAGTGCAAGGATTGCAGTTCTTTCCATAAATGCCAACACCTTGAATTGTCTGATCATTTTGTATTAAGGGCCGTCCTAAGCTGGGATCTACTAATGTACAGACTGGCCTTAGGTATAAGAATTATTGTGGTGAATTACGTCATTCTCAGGAAGCAAATTGATTCTAATCACAGTCTTCAGGGAAGGTTTGGTTGTTTATGAGGATGGATTGCCTTGTCTCCATTTTCCTTGATCATTGGTCCTTGAATTCTCTATTACCTCAAGACAACCTTCCTGTTTCATCCTGCTTCTCTGATTGCAGACTTAAGCTTGCCTCCTGTGCCCAACAACATTCATCTCCAACATTGCTGTGAAGAGGGAGCTCAAGACTAAGAAGGAACATCATTCTAGAGGACAGATAGATGCTGTGCTGGATTGGATGAGACCATTGGACCCCATCTCCTATGTCCTCATCAGCCTCAGACTACCGAGAACAAGAGTGAGAACCCAGCCTGTTTCCTACCTTTTTTTCACGTGAGTGTCTTGATACATAAAACCAGACTCCTATGCCGATAATCATTCCGATAGCTAGTAGTGTGCATAGAATAGTTAAAGAGGTATTGTCAGATCCTGTAAAAAGATAAGAAAAAATATAGATAAATCTAAAGACACACCTCCATCAGCAATGTCTCTCTCAAGGTAGACCAAGGTACTCATGTGTGATGACTGTTTTACCAGACTCTGCTGTAGCCATATTGGGGACAGTATGTCAAAGCAGGTGGCCTTTAAAGTTCATCAAGCCCATTCCAACCCTTGATTTTCTCTCTTCCTTCTGCCTTTAAATAGAGGTGTAGAACTCCTAGCTACCATATCCACTTGTGTGCCACCATGCTCCTCAACTAGGACACTGACCAATATACAAGTTGGTACCTGAGAAGGGGGTTTTGCTGTAACAGGCTATGCTGCTTCTGTGCAGAATGAGGACTTTGCAATTTTGGATTAGGAAAGGAGTTAAACATCTTAAGCAGGAGTTAGTGGGCTGTACTAGTAGGAGCATGGACCACAGGAGTGCCTGGAGCAATATAAATTAGGATAGCCTGCTGCAATAGGTTTCAAAGAGGAAGAGTATGGTTACTTTTTGCCTGTCTTCAAAAAAGAAATCTCCATCTGGTTAAATTGAAGAGTTTTGGATTAATGGCTTTGACAGAGATGTGAAGGCATCTTAGTGTGGACTGGGTCATGTGGGTGTTAGTGGCCACTCCTATACATCTCTATAATGAAAAGCAGCAAGCTCATCAGGGAAAAGTAAAGTATGTACACTTGAGGAGGAAAGGAGTTTCAGGAAGTGTCGTAAGAAAGTCCAGTGCTCAGTGACATAAAAAATATTTTTTAAAAGCCTGATTCTAAAGGAATAAAAGGAGTTCTGGCCTCAGAGAAAGACTCCAGTCAGCTAAGCTTCCAATCTATCAAAAAGAATTTAAAAGATGGCTAAGTAATGAAGGAAGCTCTCAAACATAGAGAGCTGATGACGCTGTATTGGAATGAGAGGCCGTGTTCTAGCCTAAGCAAGCAGGAAAACTAGGTAGCTTTGGTTATGTGGTTCTGGCTTTAGAGTCAGGAAGGGGGTGTAGAATCGCCATTCTTAGCTAAGAAAAACTGCTGAGACCAGGTATGTTCAGGGATGGCCATGCATGGAGACCAGGAGAAGCCCTTGTGTGAAACTGTGAAGGTGAAGCCTGGATTATCTTAGAGACACCAAGATATTGGAGATGCTAGAGTCATGGGATATCTGCCAAGGACATCTGCTAACAAGTGGGGAAGCAGCACAAGGGACAGAAGTCTGTTGCAGGCAAACGAAGCTGATAGGATTTGGCATTCTGAAGAGAACTTTGACATAAGACATGGAAATACAGGGTTTGAAGTTTGACCTCCTGGTCATCCATCTTGCTTTGGCCAAGTATTTCCTTCCTATGGTCTGTTTCCTCCCCTTTGGAATGGAAATGCATATCCTCTGTCATATTAGGTTGGAAGTTTGGAGTCTGCTTTTTCATTTAAATCTTACAGGGTGTTACTGTGAAGAGGTTGCCTTCAGTCTTAAAAGAGACTTTGACCTTTTAAAATGGATAGAGACTGTGACAGACTGTGGAGTTGTTGAAGTTGGACTGAATGCATTTTTCATGATGATATGGCTACAAGCCTATGAACTCCAGGGAGTAGAATGCAGTGGTTTGAATAAGAATGGCCCCCATAGGCTCAAATGTTTGAATGCTTGGCTCCTAGGGAGTGGCACTATGAGAGGAGGATTGATCCTGTATCATTTTTAGAGTAGGTGTGTCCTTATTGGAGGACCTGTGTTCCTAGCGCAGGACTTTGAGGTTTCAAAAAGCCCATTTCTAGCTCAGAGCCTGTTACTTCTTGCTGTCTTTGGATCTGGATGTAGTATTGTCAGCTAACATGTCTACCTATGTATCACAATGATCCCAACCATAATCGTTATGGCCTCTAGAACCATAAGCAAGGCTCAATTAAATGCTGTCTTTTATAAGAGATGCCATAGTCATGGTGTCTCTTTACAGCAACAGAACACTGAGCAAGAGATCCTAGACTTCCAGTCTGGGCCCGAGCACAGAGCAGATCTCAGGCGGCAGCTCTGTACTCAACTTCACAAAACCCAGAGGAAGAGGGCCTCCCAGGAGCTTTAGCTCGGGCAGCATCTCAGGTAAGGAGACAGCAACATCCGCCCCAAACAGGGAGTAACTACGACTCAGGAGTTCACTCTTGGCCCGGAGCACGGGTTCCTTCCAGACTCAACCTGAGCACTGAGCAATCTTGAGCCTCAGCTCTAACCCCAGCAGCAAAACCCATCCCAAACAGTTCTGACACAACCAAGATAATAGGAAAGACAGGTTCCAGTCAGAGACAGCACAGATAGCACAAAGGTGATCCAGATGGCAAAAGGCAAGCGCAAGAACACAAGCACCAGCAACCCAAGGTACTTGCCATCATCAGAACCTAGTTCACCCACATTAGAAAGTCCTGAACTCCCCATATCAACAGGAAAGCAAGAGCCAGATCTAAAATCACTTCTAACGATGATGATAGAGGACTTTAAGAAGGACATAAATAACACTCTCAAAAAATTTGAGAACACAGGTAAACAGGTAGAAATCCTTAAAGAGGAAACACAAGAATCCCTTAAAAAATTACAAGAAAACACAAACAAACAGGTGAAGGAATTGAACAAAACCATCCAGGACATAAAAATGGAAATAGAAACAATAAAGAAAGCAGAAAGGGAGACTACTCTGGAGATAGAAAACCTAAGAAAGAAATCAGAAGTCATAGATACAAGCATCACCAACAGAATACAAGAGATAGAAGAAAGAATCTCAGGTGCAGAAGATACCATAGACAATATTGACACCACTGTCAAAGAAAACACAAAATGCAAAACGTTATTAACACAAAACATCGAGCAAATCCAGGACACAATGAGAAGACCAAACCTAAGGATAATAGGTATAGAAGAAAGTGAAGATTCCCAACTTAAAGGGCCAATAAATATCTTCAACAAAATTATAGAAGAAAACTTCCCTAACCTAAGGAATGAGAATAATCATAATCCCATAATCATACATGAAGCCTACAGAACGCCAAATAGACTAGATCAGAAAAGAAATACCTCCCGTCATATAATAGTCAAAACACAAAATGCACAAAACAAAGAAAGAATTTTAAAAGCAGTAAGGGAAAAAGGCCAAGTAACATACAAAGGCAAACCTATCAGAATTACACTTTTCTTCTCACCAGATACTATAAAAGCCAGAAGATCCTGGACAGATGTCATACAGACCCTAAGAGAACATAAATGCCAGCCCAGGCTACTATACCCAGCAAAACTCTCAATTACCATAGATGGAGAAACCAAGACATTCAACAACAAAACCAAATTTACACAGTATCTTACCACAAACCCAGCACTACAAAGGATAATAGCAGGTAAGCTCCAATACAAGGAGGGAAACTGTACCCTAGAAAGAGCAAGAAAATAATCCCTTCCAACAAACCCTAAAGAAGATAACCACAAAAAACAATGCCTCCACTATTAGCAAAAATGACAGGAAGCAACAACACCCTCTCCTTAATATCTCTTAACATCAATGGACTCAATTCCCCAATAAAAAGGCATAGGCTAATGGACTGGATATGCAAACAGGACCCAGCTTTTTGCTGCATACAAGAAACCCACCTCAGCCACAAAGACAGACACTACCTTAGAGTAAAAGGTTGGAAAACAATTTTTCAAGCAAATGGCCCTAAGAAACAAGCTGGAGTAGACATTCTAATATCGAATAAAATCGACTTTCAACTTAAAGCTATCAAAAAGGATAAGGAAGGTCATTTCATACTTGTCAATGGAAAAGTCAACCAACATGAACTCTCAATTCTGAATATCTATGCGCCAAATGAAAGAGCACCCACCTTCATAAAAGAAACCTTACTAAATCTCAAAGCACACATTGCACCTCACACAATAATACTGGGAGACTTCAACACCCCACTCTCAGCAATGGATAGATCTTGGAAACAGAAACTAAACACAGATACAGTGAAACTAACAGAAGTTATGAACAAAATGGACCTAACAGATATCTACAGAACATTTCATCCTAAAGCAAAGGAATATACCTTTTTCTCAGCACCTCATGGTACCTTCTCTAAAATAGACCATATAATTGGGCACAAAACAGGCCCCAACAGATTCAAAAAAATTGAAATAATCCCTTGCATCCTATCAGATCACCCTGGTCTAAGGCTGGTCTTCAACAATGACAAAGACAATGGAAAGCCCACACTCACATGGAAACTGAACAACACCCTACTCATTGATAATCTGGTCAGGGAAGAAATAAAGAAAGAAATTAAAGACATTTTAGAATTTAATGAAAATGATGACACATCATACCAAAACCTATGGGATACAATGAAAGCAGTGCTGAGAGGAAAATTCATAGCTCTAAGTACATACAAAAAGAAACTGGAGAGAGCTTACACTAGCAGCTTGACAACGCACCTGAAAGACCTAGAACAAAAAGAAGCTAATACACCCAAGAGGAGTAGAAGGCAGGATATAATCAAACTCAGGGCTGAAATCAACCAAATAGAAACAAAAAGAACCATACAAAGAATTAATAAAATCAGGAGCTGGTTCTTTGAGAAAATCAACAAGATAGATAAACCCTTAGCCAGACTAATCAGAGGACAGAGAGACAGTACCCAAATTAATAAAATCAGAACTGAAAAGGGCGACATAACAACAGAAACCGAGGAAATTCAAAAAATCATCACATCCTACTACAAAAGCCTATACTCAACAAAATTGGAAAATCTCGATGAAATGGACAATTTTCTAGACAAATACCAGTTACCAATGTTAAATCAGGAGCAGATAAACCACCTAAACAGTCCCATAGCCCCAAAAGAAATAGAAGCAGTCATTAAAAGTCTCCCCACAAAAAAAAGTCCGGGACCAGATGGTTTTAGTGCAGAATTCTATCAGACCTTCAAGGAAGATCTAATTCCAATTTTCTTCAAACTATTCTACAAAATAGAAACAGAATGAACACTACCCAATTCATTCTATGAAGCCACAATTACGTTCATACCTAAACCACACAAAGACCCAACAAAGAAAGAGAACTTCAGACCAATCTCCCTTATGAACATTGATGCCAAAATACTCAATAAAATTCTAGTGAACCGAATCCAAGAACACATCAAAACAATTATCCGTCATGATCAAGTAGGCTTTATCCCAGGAATGCAGGGTTGGTTCAATATACAGAAATCCATCAATGTAATTCACTATATAAACAAACTCAAAGAAAAAAACCACATGATCATATCACTAGATGCTGAGAAAGCTTTTGACAAAATTCAACACCCCTTCATGATATAAAAGTCTTGGAAAGATCAGGAATTCAAGGTCCATACCTAAACATAGTAAAAGCAATATACAGCAAACCAGTAGCCAACATCAAACTAAATGGAGAGAAACTTGAAGCAATCCCACTAAAATCAGGGACTAGGCAAGGCTGCCCACTACCTATTCAATATAGTACTGGAAGTCCTACCCAGAGCAATTAGGCAACACAAGGAAGTCAAAGGGATACAAATTGGAAAGGAAGAAATCAAAATCTCACTATTTGCAGATGACATGATAGTATACTTAAGTAACCCCAAAACTTCCACCAGAGAACTCCTAAACCTGATAAACAACTTTAGCAAAGTGGCTGGATATAAAATTAACTCAAGCAAATCAGTAGCCTTCCTCTACTCAAAAGATAAACTGGCTAAGAAAGAAATTATGGAAATGACACCCTTCACAATAGTCACAGATAATATAAAATACCATGGTGTGAATCTGACCAAGCAAGTAAAAGACCTGTAAGACAAGAACTTCAAGCCCCTGACGAAAGAAATCGAAACAGATCTCAGAAGATGGAAAGATCTCCCATGCTCATGGATTGGAAGGATTAATATGGTAAAAATGGCTATCTTGCTAAAAGTCATCTACAGATTTAATGCAATCTCCATCAAAATTCCCACTCAATTCTTCACAGAGATAAAAAGAGCAATCTTAAAATTCATTTGGAATAACAAAAAACCTAGGACAGCGAAAACTAGTCTCAGCAATAAAAGAACTTCTGGAGGAATCACCATCCCTGACTTCAAGCTGTACTATAAAGCAATAGTGATAAAAACTGAGTGGTATTGTAACAGAGACAGGCAGGAGGATCAATGGAATAGAATAGAAGACCCAGAAATGAACCCCCATACCTATGGTCACTTGATCTTTGACAAAGGAGCTAAAACCATCCAGTGGAAAAAAGACAGCATTTTCAACAAATGGTGCTGGTCCAACTGGAGGTCAGCATGTAGAAGAATGCAAATTGATCCATACTTATCTCCTTGTACAAACTCAATTCCAAGTGGATCAAGGACCTCCACATAAAACCAGCTACACTGAAACTAACAGAAGAGAAATTGGGGAAAAGCCTCGAACACATGGGCACAGGAGAAAAGTTCCTGAACAGAGCACCAATGGCTTGTGCTCTAAGACCAAGAATTGACAAATGGGACCTCATAAAACTGCAAAGCTTCTGTAAAGCAAAGGACACAGTCAATAGGACAAAGCAGCAACCAACAGATTGGGAAAAGATCTTTACCAACCCTACATCTGATAAAGGGCTAATATCCAAAGTGTAGAAAGAACTGAAGAAATTAGACTCTAGACAATCAAAGAACCCTATTAAATAATGCAGCACAGAGCTGAACAAAGAATTCTCAACTGAGGAAGCTTGAATGGTTGAGAAGCACCTAAAGAAGTGTTCAGCATCCCTAGTCATCGGGGAAATGCAAATGAAAACAACACTGAGATTCCACCTCACACCAGTCAGAATGGCTAAGATCAAAAATACAGGTGAGAGCAGATGTTGGCAAGGATGTGGAGAAAGAGGTACACTACTCCACTGTTGGTGGGATTGTAAACTGGTACAACCACTATGGAAGGCAGTCTGGCGGTATCTCAGAAAACTGAACATAGCGTTACCTGAGGACCCAG